TATATATATATATATATATATATATATATATATATAAAACAATAACTTCATTGTCTTTCTTTTAGCTTTGCTAACTAACCCAACTCTAACAAAGAGACCTATTAATAGTTGGAGATCATGAAATGTGTCTAGAGATTTCCTAACATCATTCTCAGTTTCTTCCTTGAAAATTCAATTTTGGTGGTCCCTTGTGGGAAGCTTTGTGATATCACTCCTTTCTAAGATGTGTGAACAAGCAATTTGTATACAGTGCGGCACCTAAAATCTTTCTGCCTAGTTGCTTCCCTTTGCTAACTTCTGCACTCAAGAAATTCTGGGGGCTACAGTCTTGGGTACAGCATATTAAAATTTCTATGTCCCAAATTTGCAAATCCTGAAAGTTTTCATCAAGAAGTTGATAAAAACTATTATTAGAGTGACTAATTCAGTGGGAAAAAGTCCTTGGAATGTCGATCTGGGACATCCAGGCCTTCCTAATGTTTTCTTGAGCAACTTCATTTTCTGGAAATTATTGCTTTATATTTATACTAAACTTACATATGTGATTGTGAAGAGCTCAAAAGTTCTTCAGACAACAAAGCTTCTTAGTTGGAGAATGAACAGAGTGATCAAATGTCATCAAGGAACCTTGGAATTATGTCTAGGTATAAACAGAAAGCCTGATAGAATTCCTAATTCCACATCCTAAGCAGAACTATAGTTCCCAAGACTTGTTATCTTCTGAGGCCTCTCAAAGGTACTAGAAAGCCTAGATGGGATGCTTCACAAGTCACAATACAAAGTTCAGGAATTATAGTTTTATAGAAAAAACATGAAAAAAAATTAGTTTCAAGTAGGTTTTAACTTAAAAGTTAAAGGAATCCTTGAAAGCTAAGTTCTGGTATGATATAAATCACCATCACCTACAGGTTTGATTCCCTTCACCCCTGCACCTTTGCTTGCCTGTCTCTTACTAACTTCCTGCTTGCAACATCTGGATTTTATTGTCCTTCCTTTGTCTGTCTTCTGCCTGGGCTTCTGCTCCTTCTCTTTGATAATGCAGCTTCTTTTGTGTCTTTTGCAATAAAGGGAGGGAGGATGCTGAAGTAAGTGTCTTATTTACAAGTACCAAACTTCGGCGTGTGGGTTGGAACAGCACTTTGAACAGCCAATGGCTTATAGTTAGTCTTATGTATTATGGACAGTATACTTTTGACATGAAGTAATGTATTATGGCATAATAGGCATTATTTATTTATCCTCTGGGGATTTGATGAGTTTGTAGGAATTGTTTTGCCACCAAGTCACTAAGGGACACAGTGAAAGAGTGCTGATGTTGTTGACTGGAGAAGGTAGGGTAGGATTAAGTGGGAATATGGACTGGAAGTCTAAAACCAAGTTAAAAACTCATAGGGTTCTCCTCAACACGATGACCTTCAAATGTGTTGAAACTTCTGAAGTCTCACCACCTTTGGAGAACCCAAGATTGGAGAAAATGGATTTTAATAGATATTGGAATGGAATGGAAGCTTGTGGATTTAAGGCTGTTTTTGAATTCCAAGTCACACCATTTCAATGAACCCCATTAGCTGAAGTCAATGAGAGACAAACCATTAGGAATTCCTTAGGCATACAAGCCAGAACTACTGGCCCCCTATTTCTGAAATAGGAAAAGAATTAGGAGCCCCCCCAAATCTTTAAAGGATATTGTGCCATTTTGCTTATCATGGGGATGGTCTGGAAGAAAGTCTGATCATTATTTTTTGCATCATATTAACTTCTTTCCTCTCCTTGTGCTTTTCCATCCTCCAATACTTTACAGGCGATGGTGAGTATTATTCCTTTTTCAATATTTATTCTTTGTAAATGCATTCTCAATTTCCACTTCTACTAAAATTTAGGGATGACTGCTAGTTTGTCTTCTTCTAGTTTGTTAGTTTGGATTCAAAATTCGTTGTGAATTTTGACCCCTAAGACTTTTTAAAAAAATATAAAATGTAGGGCTTTGTTTACAAACATTCTATTTGCCTCTAAAGCAAATAGCAGCTATGAAGATACATCTGGATCATTCATGAAAAAGAATGTGTACAGTCTGTATTACTTTGATTTAATTATTCTTTATGTTTCTTCCCACAGTCCTTAGTCCAGTCCAGGAAAGCTGGTATTACGTCAGCACTTGCATCAAGCACTTTAAACAATGAAGAGCTAGTAAGTGTTACAACTGCCTTTTAATTATTTACTTAGAACATTTAGGAAATGGATATCCCGAGCATTTGCTTAACAGCTCTGGTTGGCTTATAGAAGTACAATAAAATTGTGTTAGAAAGAAGAAATATAAAACATCAAACAATAAACATTAAACCTGTAACACAAAACAGCTCAACATTAAAAGTCCCGGGTGAATACATATTAGACCCTTCCTAAGTTATAATATCAGGGATGTGTGGCTCAGTGGCTAAGACGTTGAGCTTGTCGATCAGAAAGGTCGGTAGTTCGGCAGTTCGAATCCCTAGTGCTGCGCTACGGAGTAAGCTTCCATTACTTTTCCCAGCTTCTGCCAACCTAGCAGTTCAAAAGCATGTAAAAATGCAAGTAGAAAAATAGGGACCACTTTTGGTGGGAAGGTAAACAGCATTCTGTGCACCTTTGGCATTTAGTCATGCCAGCCACATGGCCACGGAACTGTCTTCGGACAGCGCTGGCTCTTCAGCTTTGAAACGGAGATGAGCACCACCCCCTAGAGTTGTAAATGACTAGCACATATGTGCAAGGGGAACCTTTACCTTTAAGTTATAATAGGGAGGGACCTTGCTTCAATTCCAGACAACATTGCTTTTTCCATCATAAGGATCATTCCACAAAGAAAGCACAATTATCCACTGAAGTCAAACAGAACCAGGGCAGGAGATGAAGCAGCTGCCTCACTGACCTATTGGGTGGACTTTGGGACAAGAAAAGTAAAGGAAATCTCAAGCAGTGGGGAAAGAGAGTGTCAGAAAGCAAGAGGATTGATGTCAGCCAGTTGCCCCTGTTGTGTATACAGTGCTCTGCCCCCTATTAGCAAATGGTCCCCAAAAGATCAGTCTGAGAGAAGCTTGACCCTAAGAGAAAAAAAATTGCCTAGTCTATATTTCTGATCATAAAACGTGTCAAGGAAGTATGGTTGTAACAGAGGGCTCTTTTTTTAATTTTTAATTTTATTTTATTTTATCAATTTCATATATACATTCACAATTATATGATCTCATAACTGTTATTAATAATATGTATTTATAACAATTTCCCCTACTGTTGACAATATACTTGAAGATTGTTTTTTTAACATCCCATAGATCCATCCTATCTTACAACGGTCCTACTTCTTCTTCCCTCCCTCCCTCTTTCCTTCCCTCGTTTCTTCTCTCCTACTCCCCTTCCTTCCCTCCCTCCTTCCCCTTCCCTCCTTCTCTCCTTCCCTCCTTCCTTCCCTCCTTCCTTCCTTCCCTCCTTTCTTTTCTCCTTCTCTCCTTCCTTTCCCCCTTTCCTCCTTCCTTCCCCCTTCCTTCTCTCCTACATTCCCTCCTTCCTTTCCTCCTTTCTTCTCTCCTTCTCTCCTTCCTTCCCTCCTTCCTTCCTTCCTTGCTTCCCTCCCTCCTTCCCTCCCTCCTTCCTACCCCCCTTTCTTCTCTTTCTTCTCTCCTTCCTTCCCCCCTCCTCTCCTTTCCCTTCTCTCCTTCCCCTTCCTCCCCTTTACCCTTCCCCTCTTCTTCCCATTCCTCCCCTCTTTCCTACTCTTACATTCCCAACAGAGGGCTCTTGCTAGAATATGTTCCCTACTGTTGAATTGAAAAGATAAGAGTGATATAGCCAGGGGTGGGCTTCAAAGATTGCAGCAACGGTTTGCTGCCCCATTACTGGCTGGCCATGACCATGGTGGGAGTGGCCTAGTCCGACTTCTGCACCACGGCAGGGGGGGGAAAGCATTTTTCGCTCTCCCCAGACTCAGGGGGCTTTCCTTGAGTCTCTGGGTGGGCGGAAACTGCTCCCCCCCATGCTCCAGAGGCTCTCCGGAAGCCGGAAACAAGTCTGTATCTGGATTTCTGGAACCTCTGGTTGGCCTGTTTCCCTCCTTCCCCGAGCCTCCCTGAGGGCCCTTCACTTACCTGCCATGATGAATGTGGAGACTCCTGGAAGGGGTGGGGAAGGGAGGAGTGGGAGTGGCCAGCCAGGAGTGGGATTTGGGGGTTTGCTGAATTGTGCAGAATCTTCGCTGGAGAATCGCCTGAACCTGTGCAAACCCCCAGCAGCCCACCCCTTAATATAGCCAAATCTTGAAGTCAAGAGTTTGACTCTTGAACAGTCAAGAAAAGGGAGGAAATGTTAATTTCACACTAGAACCTCTAAGGATGAATGAAGTCTGCCTCATTCATGGGCTGGGGACAAGCAGCAAAAAAGATGTGCCAGGGCAAGCACGGAAAGGCCCATCATATTTAGCCACCATTGACAAGAAACAGTGATAGCTAAATCATTTGCCTTTCTTGTTCCAACCAGTATTCTCACTATTTTTCCCCCACAGAAAAACCATGTTTACAAGAAAACCCTCCAAGCCTTAATCTATCCCATCTCTTGCACAACCCCCCATTATTTTGAGGTGTGGACTGCCACCACTCCCACCTATTGTTATGAGTGTGAGGGCCTGCTCTGGGGCATTGCACGCCAAGGAATGCGGTGTACCGAGTGTGGAGTGAAATGCCATGAAAAGTGCCAAGACCTGCTCAATGCCGACTGCTTGCAAAGTGAGGATCCCCTTGCATGGTGGTTTTGCATGGGGACAGGAGGAGAAGGGTGTTGTTTGAAACCAAAATTTGGGGAAGAAATACCAGTAATGTATGCTATGCTGATGGTAATTTATTGTTGTTGTTCAGTCACTACTAAGTCATATCCAACTCTTTACAGTACAATAACAATAGTACTTAGACTTATGTACCATTTCATGGTGCTTCACAGCCCTCTCTAAGCAGTTTTACAGAGTCAGCCTATTGCCCCCAACAATCTGGGTCTTCCTTTTACTCATCTCGGAAGGATGGAAGGATGAGTCAACCTTGAGCTGGGGAGATTTCAATTGCTGAACTGCTGGCAACAGGCAGTCAGCAGAAGTAGCCTGCAGTACTGCATTCTAACCACTGCACCACCACGGCTCTAGCATGTCAGATTCCACTGTCCTCCCCTGTCTCCCGGAGTCTGCCCAAATTCATGTTCATTGTGTCGATGACACTATCTAACCATCTCATGCTCTGCTATCCTGGTCTCCTTCTACCTTTAGTCTTTCCCAACATCAGGATCTTTTCCAATGAGTTATCTCTTCTTATTTAGTGTCCAAAGTATCTGAACTTCAGCTTCAGTATCTGTCCTTCCAAAGAAGTCAGGATTCCTTTAGGGTTGACTGATTTGATCTCCTTGCAGTCCAAGGGACTCTGAAGAGTCTTCTCCAGCACCACAATTTGACAGCAGCTGATGGTAATATTTTGCATCAAAAATGCAAAGGTGTCAGGGTTCCAAATAGGATTCAAAAGTATATCAGAGTCCAAGGCAAAGTATTGCTCAAAGTTCCATTTATTAAGAAAGCCATGTTGGCACACCTGGGAAAACCCGAATCTGAAAGCTTCCAGGTTTTCCCCACCTAGTTGAAAGTTCAACATCTTGCCCCACAGCTACAAATCCATCACCTGGTCCAATCTCCCACTGCCATGCTGGTAGTTCAACCCATCCAATTCCGGTCAGGTGCAGAGGTGCGGAGACAAAGGATGACCTTGGCTTTCTAGAAGGAATTTTGTTTTGGCTACATAGTCTGTGACTCCTTACAATCCCCCCTCTCATTTTCCCACAATAGAAAAGGCATAATAGAAAGTGTGGCAGGCCAAAGATCCAAGAGAAATATGGCTGCAGGCCTGACAAAAGGATCCGTAAGTACTAGTAACCAGTAAGTTCTAATAATCTAGCAAGTTCTAGTAAGTCAAGGAACCCAATGAAAAAATAGGGCTAAAATGTAAAGAAGGCCAAATTAATGACCATAGGCACACCAACCAGTCTTAGTACTAATAGTGAAGATATTGAAGAGATAGATAGCTCCCACCACTTAGGATCAACCATCAAGAGTAAAAGAACAAGCGGTAAGAAATATGCCACGATTGACTTGGAAGAAGTATCCAGGTGCTACAATGTGTCTATACTTACAAAGATCAGAATAAGGTAGATAATAATATTCACTTGACACAACAGAGAAATGAAAGTTGGACTTTGAAGAAACAGGATAGAAAGAATATTGATGCTTTGGTGTTTTGGGGAAAAATATCTGAGAATACAAAGAACAGCTAAGGAAATAAACAAATGGATCATCAACAAATCAACCCAGAATTCTCACTGATTACGCTCAATTTATTCTACTTTGGACATACAGTATGTAAATATCCAGCTCTCTAGAGAAGGTTTGAATGTTGGGAAAGATGGAAGGAAGAAGACAAGGATAACCAATAGAAAGCTAGATAGACTTGGTTACAATGGTGATAGGTGTACTATGGGAAGACTTGAAGAACCAGGTTAGAGACAGATCGTCATGGAGAAAATCTATCTGCGTAGTCACTAAAAGGCAACACAAATTTGATGGCATATAACAATCACCATAAGGAAAGAGAAGATGGAGCTATTTGTAAAGCACTAATAGAGTCTGAGATGAAATCCTCAAATTAAAATCAAATTGAAATACATTACATAGTTATTTAGTTGCTGCACGCAGTTATTTATTTTCCCTCTTGTTAAATGATACAATTCATTATCAAAATGAATCAAAGAAATGGGATATACAGATAGACAACTTATGATATTTCCAATGATCTGAACTTCAACGCCTAGCATACGGGGCCAGTAGTGAGAAATTCTCGGAGTCCAGTTAGAGTCTTACAGTTTGCCTACCTGTGTTGTTATCAACAGAAATAATAAACAATAATGATAGTCACCACAATTATTGCATGTGAGATTACCAATACTATATTTCTTCTGGTGCATGTGAGATTATCAATATTATATTTCTTCTGGTGCACAGGGGCAGCAGAGAAAAGTTCTAAACATGGGGCAGAAGATCGCACACAGAATATTATTATGGTGCTGAAAGACCGTATGAAGATCCGGGAGCGGAATAAACCAGAAATCTTCGAGTTGATCCAGGAGATCTTTGCGGTCTGCAAGACCACCCATACCCAGCAGATGAAGGCAGTCAAGCAGAGTGTTTTGGATGGCACTTCAAAATGGTCAGCCAAGATCAGCATCACAGGTATCATTCCAATAACTTTCTGAACTTAGAACTTAGTACAACTTTATTGTCACTTTAAATGTACACTCATTGGCATACATTAAAATGAAATTTCGTTGCATACAGCTGTCAAAGGGTCACCATCTCCAATATACACTACACAAACATGACCAAAAATATGCATATAACCCCATACCCACAAATATTCTGGATTTATTCTATACAGGGGTATATGTAAGAGCAAAGCAGTCTATTAAGTTTTGTTTTGCTCCAACTCTCATTCTTCCAACTTTTTTTTGGCCCCCATTTCCACATCTATGTGATGTTCTCTTTATTTTCCTCAGTTTTTGAAGTGCATGCCTTCTAATGTGTTATTTTCTAAACATTATTTGGCGCACTTTTAATGTATTCATCTATACAAGTAATGTTCTCTTTTATACTACCCTTGTGTAGATTTCCCTCTCACTAGTATTTGAATTTAGGTGAGCACTTTCTTTCTTCCCCATCAACTTTTTTTGTATGCTTTTTGTTGGGTTTTCATAAAAGTGTATTACAAAATGCCAAAAAAAGAAAAGAAAAGAAAGAAAGGAGACAATTTTTAAAAAAGGAGACTACTAAAGGACCATTGTCCTTGAATTAATTTGTAGGCTTGAGATCAATTTGAGTAAAGTGTTTCCCCATCTCTGGAGACAATTATGGACTGTGGAGAAATCCATATATTACCGGTAATTGATTTTGGTGCAGGTTGAGGAGGGTCAAGACATAAAATCATATAAAGCTGTTTTTCCCTGTTCACATTTTGGGATGGAAGAGATCTGTGATTTTAGAATGATTTAGATGTGATTTTAGTGCTCAATAATGCTTCAGCTGCCTGAAGTTCTTTTTTTATTATTATATGTTTTTATTTTTTAGTATAATAATTCCATACATATTTTGTGGAGAGTGTATTGACTGGGTCAAATCTTTTTTGAACAAGGTTGACAATAATAATACAAATATATAATCCTAATCTTCCAATGTCAACAATACTATTCTCTTTTCATAATCTTTTATCATTTTTTCTATCAATTCATTCAAACATAGATAACATTTCTTTACGCCATGTATTTGTTATCCTCTATTAAATTACTATTATTTAATATTTTAAAAATTACTCATTATTCCCCAATAACTTCAATATTCCAAATGTGTAGTATTACTAATAACACCAAATATTAACAATCTTTAATCAATCTGGGGAGTATATCTCAAAATCCCCACAATTTCTAATCCTTAGTATTTTAAATTCACAATATACTTTAACACACTATTAATAATTCAATTAAATTACCTAATCCTAAATTTCCATCTACTAATCTTAAAAATAGCTGCCTGAAGTTCTTGACACTCAGTTTAATCTGAAAGGTAGTGCATGAATCAAACCAATAAATTAGGGCTAGCCATCTTTCATACAAGAGCCAGTATGGTTAAGGCAGAAGGCTAGAAACCCGGAGATTGTGAGTTCTAGTTCCACCTTTTGCATGAAGCCAGCTAAATGACTTTAGGATAGACATCCGGTCCTGTGAGGCAGGCAATGGGAACTCACTTTTGAAATCTTGCCAAGAATACCGCAGGGACTTGCTGGATCTGGAGGCATACTGTACATTTAAAAAAAAAAAAAGCTGGATCTTAAGGCATACATTAAAAAAAAAACATTTCACACACAAATAGGCAAATGCTTTGTTTTTATTCTAATCAACCTAGAAAAGAAAAATTAATGTTAAAGCTCTTTTTATGCCTATTATCTAACCCTAACTTTTTTCATTTGTTTTCTTTGTCCGTGTGTTGCCTTTGTTGTTGTTGTTGTTGTGTGTGTGTGTGTTTTGGTATATGTCTATCCTTCCATCTAATCAACATGGTACTTGCGTGTGGCTTATGTATTTGTAGTGGTTTGTGCGCAAGGCCTGCAGGCGAAGGATAAAACGGGCTCCAGTGACCCCTATGTAACCGTCCAGGTTGGAAAGACCAAAAAGAGAACAAAAACCATTTATGGAAATTTGAACCCCGTCTGGGAGGAAAACTTCCACTTGTAAGTGAATCCTAAAGCATCTGTCTCTCTAAAGCATTTGGATGGGACTGCTACACTACCTCCTTAACTAACACACAAATTCACACCAGCAGGCTAAGAGCCTGCATTAGTTGGATCTGATATCCTTAGCAGCATCAGGATGCGACTAAAGAGATACAAGATGTTCAGCAATGTTCTACTTTCCATTCCAAACATTGTTCTGATGCAATGGTAGGTTGGAAAGACTTTGAGAGACAGGGAAGAGACGCTGTCAAGGGAATGGTCAGATAAGAGAGAGCATAGCCCACAACTGGATAGTGAGTGGAGGAAGAAGCTAAGAAGACACCCATCCCTAGTTTCTTGGAGTGAAAGAAGACGGGGGGAAGGATTGTTTTTTCAGACTTGTAAGATTCTGTTGAAGGGACGCCATAGCTCAGTGGCTAAGATGCTGAGCTGGTCGATCAGAAAGGTCGGCAATTCAGCAGTTCGAATCCCTAGCACCTCGTAATGGAGTGAGCTCCCATTACTTGCCCCAGCTTCTGCCAACCTAGCAGTTCGAAAGCATGTAAAAATGCAAGTAGAAAAGTAGGGACCACCTTTGGTGGGAAAGTAACAACATTCCCTGCGCCTTTGGTGTTTAGTCATACCGGTCACATGACCACAGCGACATCTTCGGACAGCGCTGGCTCTTCGGCTTTGAAACGCAGATTAGCATTGCCCCCAGGAGTTGGGAACGACTGGCACATATGTGCAAGAGGAACCTTTACCTAGATTCTGTCAATGTAGCTTTACAATAAAATCCATCCCCCACCAGTCAGTCAGAACAGAAGAAGCTTCTTGGATGAGAAGCAAAATGTTTTCAAAGAAAAAAACCCAAGAAAGCCCAGTTGCCTTTTGGGAAAAAGCACCTTTGGGACAACCGTGACCTGAATGATTGAGACTCTCCATAGACATAGTAAACTAGAGTTAGATTATCTGATTACGATTCCTGATTTTCCCCACAAGGTGGATTCCCGAGAATTGCTTAGCTCTGACTTCTACACTTCCAAGCTAAATCTTTTACTTGATCCCCATGGACCATATTCTTGCAGCTAGAGGATAAATTTCAATGCCAAAATCTTTCTTGTCCCCTTCCTAACCACGAAACATGCCCCATGATTTTGAGGCAGGAAACAGAAATTACAAGCTAATTGCTATTACAGCCTTCATTCTTCCACACCTCAGATATATTTATTGTAGCCTTCAGGCACCAAATATTCAGAATCCAGATTATTTTAGAAGTAGGGTCAGGACTTTTTTGGCTCCCAGAAATTAAAAAAGCTGCTTTTCCAAAAATGTGGGATTGCAGCCTTATTTCTGGAATTGAACCACGTTTAGTTAGCAATAACAGCTGTTGGAAAGAGTCATTCCTGTGTATCAAGACATTATGGATAGTTTAGGTATTGCTTTATATATCTCTGGCAGAGAAACATTCCCGAATTTTCTGAAGGGAGAAGATTGAAAGAAGATTTCCCTTCTACTCCCAGAATTTGAGCTTTTATTTTTTCCCCCCTCTTCCCAGTTACTTTAATGAAGGCTTGTGTAAGGCTCACTGCCCACAGAGTACAGGAATAATTGATAATTGTAGTAGTACCCTTTTCATCTCTGCTGGTGGATCTCCAGAGTATCGTCTCAGAGTATCCCCTCAGTTACTCCGTTTTCCCCAAAATTAAAGATTAATTAAAAATTCTACTTACAGTTAGAAATTAATAATTTGCCTGGATAATTAATGAATAATGTAAGTTCATAATGTACATAATTCCATAATGTAAGTGGATTTTTAATTAAAGGAAACACTGATTAAAATACTAAAATATGCAGAGTTAGAAATGAAAATAAATGGAGGGCGGGAGGGTGGCAGGGATATAATTAATGTTGAGGATAGAGAGATCTTGCAAGGAAATGTGCAATGGGCTTAGTAATTACAAGGTCTCCTGTAGGTTTTAGGAGTCACTGAATCACTTGCCCTTCCCTCAGTAGCTATGTCTGCTCTCATAATGACAGCTTTTATTTATTACTTCACCTCTTTTCCCAACTTCCTCCACGATCAGTGAGTGTCATAACTCCTCCGATCGAATTAAGGTTCGGGTATGGGACGAAGACGATGACATCAAGTCTAGGGTAAAACAGCGCTTCAAGAGGGAATCTGATGACTTCCTGGGTCAGACGATCATTGAAGTACGGACACTGAGTGGAGAAATGGATGTCTGGTACAATCTGGGTAAGCAGTCATCCAGCCTCAAGAGGGACACGTATTTATGGGCAGCTTTCCATCTCAATGAGTCATAAGCATCCGTAAGTCCTAAGAAAGCAGGCCATTTCTTCAGAAAAGAGACCTGGATGTATTCATTGTCTCTATACTAGCAATATGTTCAGTCTGACATACAAAATCTAGATCTGGTAGTTGGCCATTGACTTCCCAGATAAAAAGCTCAAGGAGTCCAGTCTTGCAGTTTAAACAGCCCCCCCCCCCACACACACACATACACATACACTTATCAGCTCTAGCAGATCAATAAGAAAATTCACAATTTATTCTGAGTCTGAAGAATGTTGGAGTGAATCATTTGCTTTGACAAAGATGGAAGTAAAGTAAGTCTGGATAAATGCTTGAAACAGTTTGACTGCTCTTAAAATCTACAAGGGAAGGGGGGGCGACTATTGCTGTTATTTCTTTTATAGGCCTTTTAGAGGCATCAGGCTGTGTTGTCTTGACTAGCTGGTTTCTCATTATACTGTTTATATTCTTGCTTATTCTGGGATATTCATATAGACTTCAACAAACACCCCCTTTCCCTCATCAATCTTATAAATAACTGTAACACCAATCCTTTCTCCTCATCCCTAATTTGTTTCAGATAAGAGAACAGATAAGTCAGCTGTATCCGGAGCTATCCGATTGCACATTAGTGTGGAGATCAAAGGAGAGGAGAAAGTGGCACCTTACCATGTGCAATACACCTGTCTTCATGAAGTGAGTGAAAAGGCACATAGTAATTCAGAGGTTGCTTTTTGTGGTATGGTGCACAGATTCCAGCCCTATATGCAAATACACTGGGAAGTGCAGGGAGCCATCTCATCCTGTTATAGAACTGGGCCAAAGTGTAATGGTTTGTTCCCAGAGTGATAGTTCATGAGACCATAATATAAGAGTCAACTGGGCTGAAATGGGCAGCTATAGAAATTGAATAACAACAGCAATAGCATTTAGACTTATATACTGCTTCACAGTGCTCTACAGCCCCCTCTAAGCGGTTTACACAGTCAGCCTATTGCCCCCAACAATTTGGGTCTTCATTTTACCCACCTCGGAAGGATGGAAGGCTGAGTCAACCTTGAACCTGGTGAGATTTGAAGTGCCACAGACTCTCCACAGACAGTCAAGTGACCTACCTTCTCAGAGGATCACAGGAAAGCTGTTAGGAAAGGATCTTGGAGGTCCTAATCCAGCAGTCCCCAACCTTTCCAGCTTCATGGCCTAACATGAGGGGGGGTGTATGAGGAGTAGGTGGGCGTGTGTGAATGCACCAGTTCCCTTTGTGAGAGCGTTTACCACTCACACAAGTGGGAGTGGCCACTGCTCACATAAGTGGAGCCAGGTTCAGAATGGGACACAGCCCAGTAGTGGGCCAGACATTGGAGACCCTTGTTCTAGTCCAACCTCCTGGTCAAGCATGAGACCATATACTATTCTAGACCAATGGCTATCAATCTTTTCTTAAAAGCTTCCAATGATGGAGCACCAATAACTTCTAAAGGCAAGCCGTTCCACTTGAAGTAGTTGCCAAAGAGCCTGAGAAGTGTATGCTAACAACAACAACACTATCTCATTCCATAAAACATGATTTCTGTTCCTAAGGAAAGTAAGCGTACTTATGGATATGATGCCTATCTAGGCGCAATGGTTTTGCTGAGTTTTTCTCAAGATAATATCAACGTTAGTTAAAGTTAATACTTTAATTCCCACAATGTATGAATGACTGGAAAAAACTGATGGAATTAGCAAAGATGGCTAAATGACTGCGTTAATCAAATAAAAGAATACAGCTAACTTTGTTTCTACTTGGAAACCACTTCTGGACTTTATGCTTGAGGTGAAAAAAAAAGGAACTTTGACTTTGGGTGGATTTTGCTGGTTAGATAGGTTAGTTGTTATAGAAGTGGCTACTATGTATTACAGTATTACACAAAAGTAAAAAATATGCTCATATATTATTAACATTCTACTGTGCTAAAAAGAGTTGGAGGTCAATGCTATTCTTTCTTTCCCCCCTTTTATCCTACACATTTCCTCTTCCCTTTTTCCTTCCCTACTTTACCTTTATTTTCATTCTTCTTTGTATTTAATATTTTGATAAATTAATTTAAAAAATTGAACAACAACAAAAAATAATAGCAACAGTCTGTTGACCTCAATACAAACCAGAGGTGGGTTGCTCGCGTTTCGGCCTGGATCGGGCAAACTGGTAGTGGCGGCAGTGGGAAGCTCCCCACCCACCCAGTAACTTCTGTGCATGCACAGAAGCATCGTGCGCCCGCAAGAGCGAACTGGTAGTAAAAAAATGGAAACCCACCACTGATGCAAACCCTTTCTCGACCTCCTCAGTCATGGGAGTCTTCTGATTTAATTTAATTCCTTCTCTAAATGGCTTTTAGAACCTATTCCATTTTGTGACGGATATCCAAAACAATGGTGTCGTCAAAATCCCAGATGCAAAAGGAGACGATGCTTGGAAAGTATATTTTGATGAAACTGCCCAGGAGATTGTGGATGAGTTTGCTATGAGATACGGAGTGGAGTCCATCTATCAGGCTATGACGTGAGTATCTGTAATTCAGGACAGACTATATACCATATTTTTCGGAGTATAAGACGCACTGGAGTATAAGATGCACCAAGGTTTTGAAGAGGCAAATTGAAAAAAAAAGGTAGGTAGGTAGATAGAGGGAGAGAGAGGGAGAGAGAAATACAGTAGGTAGGTAGGGAGAGAGATTAGGTAGGTAGGTAGGTAGGTAGGTAGGTAGATGTTTCCAGGTGTATTTATCCATGTGCTGGAGAAGGAAATTGCTGACAACCTGCAGCACCAAAGACTTGTTTCTGCTGGGACAGCACTTGATCAATGTAATTCCCATCAATCACTCTAACTAAAGAGCTTTCCGAAAGGGGGAAAAAAGTTTTCGCACTCTGCAAACCTCCCCAAAATGGCCCAATTTTTTTTCAAATAAATGGCATGAGTAGCCCGGGGAGGGGGGGCTTGCAGAGTGCTCCTGGGGGGCCAGGGGGGCAAAAAGAGCAAAAAATGGTCCATTTTTCATGAAAACGGCCCTGTTTTTTGTTTTAAAAATTGCATGCATAGCCTTATGGAGGCTTATAGAGTGCTGCTGGGGGCTGGGGGGTGGACAAAAAACAGTCCATTTTTTGCTCATTTCTGCCCTCCCCAGCCCCCAGGAGCTCTCTGAAAGCCTCTATAAGGGTATGCACAGCCATTTTGGTGAAGGGCGGGGCTTTGGGAGGCAAAAAAATGTTGTATTCGATGTATAAGACGCAGCCAGATTTTCAGCCTCTTTTTTGAGGAAAATATGGTATTTATCTTGGATCTCAGAACTTCAAAATTCCAGAGATTCCAAGGCAGGGCTTCTGCATCTTTCCTGTTTAAAAAATGTTGATAAAAGTCTTGCACATAGAGAATCATTACTTGGGCATGGTGACCAAACATATGTAGAGTCATTAATTAAAGAATCTCAGGTTGCAATTTACTGGATGTCCTTCTACCCTTTATGACCTGAGAACTTCAACTCCCAGAATTCTTGAGCCATGCTGGCTCAGGAATTCTGGGAGTTGAAGTCCGCAGCTTGTAAAGGCGCCATAGTTGCCCATCCCTGTTCTACAGGGATCTTGCAGATCAAAAATTATGAGTTAAGAAACAGTAGAAAGATATAAAGAAAGCAATGCCAGTAGTGGTTGTAAGTCCAGTGCAGAGAACTACAGAGGTTATTTTGGAGAAAGAATGTGGCAGTTAGTGAAGTATAAATTAAGCCCAGGCCTGGAAAGGCACATTAGAAAGATATGTGACTGCATCTTAATTCCCTTTGGTACAATGGGGAGGGAGGGGAAAAAATGATCGGCTTCCAAGATTATGTTTTTATATATTACTAGCTAATAACCCGGCGTTGCCCGGGTATTTATTTATAGGAGGGAAAATGTCCGGAATTTCATTAATGTAATTTCTAATGTTGGATTTTCCCCCTTATCAGAGAGAGCCTCCTTGTGGAGTACTGTGAAGCTGTTACCATGGCAACTCCACTGCACTGTATAATAGAAGCCATTTTACAGCAGTAGAGTAGAAGCCATTTGAAGGCACAACAGGCTGTATCTTAACAGAAGATACACCCCGAGGGGTGCTAGGGGTATCTTACCCCCACAGTATTTTTTTTCCAGAGAGTAAGTCACCTGTGTTCCAAGTTTGGTTGAAATTGCTCGAGGCGTTCCAGAGTTATGCCGAAACAAACAGCCATTTTCATATATATAAAGATAATAATAATAAAAATATGCCATATTTGCAATATCTGTTTCCTGACCTGGCTGGCTTACCTCAAAGAGTTAAATGCACAGTGATAATTATTTGTGACCGTGAACCCAAAAGTCTGTAACAGTGAACTCAAAATTTCCTTAAAATGCCATTTGCATCCACCAACCCCAAACTGTTCCTCCCTCCGGCTTAGAGACGACCTGAAGTTTCCTTTTTCTCTGTGTTTCCATGCTGCAGGCACTTTGCCTGTCTTTCCTCAAAATACATGTGCCCAGGGGTGCCTGCTGTAATGAGTACTTTATTGGCCAACATTAATGCTTATTATGCACATACCACTGCCTCCACCAATGTCTCTGCCTCTGACCGTTTTGCCGCTTCCAATTTCGGGGTAAGTCCGATGGTGCGTAGAACACTCATTTCTTACTTTTACTCTTTGCTTTTTTCCTGGGGGGGTGCATGATGACAGAGGGAGCGGCCTGGTGAAAAAGGACACCTGATTCTTTGTGTGCAGCCACTCACTCAACCCCAGAAGAAATGTTGTGTCACAGCCTTATCAAATGATTTCCTAGGGAATCATTTGATGTCCCAGGGGTTGGTGGTGGCGTTTACGCTGCACATATCTCTCCAATAGAAAGAGAGAACATGTTTGCCCAACCTACATAAGTCAAGACAGAGGTTGGTAAACTAGGGTTCAATGTGAGCAAGAACAAACTCAAACAGGGCTGGGTTTAAAAGTGAAAACAATTTGCAGGGGAGGGATTATTGGGAAAATATAGCCAATCCTATGGTGCCTTTTTCCTAGAGCCCTCCCATAGCAGTGGTCACAACCTGAAACCAGGTCAAAGCTCCCTGGTTTAATGGTTCTAGACTTCCAAATAATTAGGGCAGCTTTCCTTCCTTCCTTCCTTCCTTCCTTCCTTCCTTCCTTCCTTCCTTCCTTCCTTCCTTCCTTCCTTCTCTACTTCTCTTTCCTTCTTCCCTCTCTCCCTTTTCCATTAAACCTTCCATCCTCTCTAATCTTTACTTCCTCCCACCCATTTCCTCTACCTCCCCCCTCTTCTTCCCTCCCCTTCCCTCTCCCCTCCTCTCTCCTCTCCTTAGTCCCTCCCTCCCTCCCATTTCCATTAAACCTTCTCTCCTTTCCTCTCTAACCTTTACTCCCTCCCTCCCATTTCCTCTCCCCTCTCCTCTCCTTTCATCTCCCCTCCCCCCTCTCCTTTGTCCCTCCCTTCCTCCCATTTCCATTAAACTTTCTCTCCTCTCCTCTCTAACCTTTACTCTCTCCCTCCCATTTCCTCTCCTTTCATCTCTACTCCCCCTCTCCTCCCCTTCCCCCTCTCTCCTCCACTCCCCCTCCTCTCCCCTTCCCTTTCTCATTCCCTTTCATCCCCACACTTCTCTTCTCCTCTCTCCTCTCCTTTTGTCTCCCCTCCTCTCTCCCCTCCCCCCTCCTCTCCCCCTCCTCTCCCCTTTCCTCTCCCCTCCTCTCCTCCCCTCTCCTCCCTTTCTTTCCAGTTTATTTAACTCACTGTCCAAGAAGCAAAAAGTAGTACATGCGCCTCCTTCTCCCATATTATCCCTATAAGAATCCTGAAAGGCAGGCTGGGCTGTAAAGTCACCAGAGTTGCTGAATATTAGGAAGCTTTGGGGATGAGAACAAAATCCGAACTTGGATCTCTTCTACACCTAGCCCAGTTTCACTGATCTCAAAGCACTAACCATGCCAGTCCTGGTTACTACTGTACATGGATGGAAGGCCACCAGCATATTCCAGGGCATAACATTGTAATGGGTTGTGAGAGTAACTTTGAAAAAAAAATGAGGAAGAACTATTCAGAGTTGCAAGATCGATATCAGCCCTTCAAGACAGACCAGGCCTGGGCTCCAACGTATGAATACTAAAACTACCTTTAGGGCTACACTAACAGATTCTTGCAACTCTTAATGTACCACTGTCTCCGTCTTTATCCTAGCAAGAATGCACCTCCCATGCCACCCTGGGCAGTGAGATGGGCGGCATATAAATTAAACAAATAAATAAAGTTGTGAAGGTAAATCCTGGGACACTTTCTCCATTCCCATTCCTAAGTTTATCTAGACTCAGATTGTTCTTATCTGGCTTAATTCTTCTTCGAGGTTATTCTCACAGCCCATTACACACATAAACTGGAAAGTCAAAGCAACAATCGCTCTAGAAATGTCAGGTGTTAAACTTTCCAGAAACTCCTGGATGGAGCCCTAAGAAGCAGTCCTGGCCTACATCATCAACTTTTGGTCTCCTTTGGAAAGCTCTTAAGCCAGCAGGGTTAGGAGTCATCTAGCTGCAGCTAAGCATATCTGAACACCACTGAAGGACGGTTGTTAGATTGCCTAGACATCTCTCTGCATGCCACCTTGTGTTCCATGATGGGGGGGGGGGGAAGCATAATATTATGAAAGATATAATCACAACTTCTAGAGGTTAACAGTAGGGGTTTGCAACCATTCGTACTTCGTATTCTCGCAATGAAAACTTGGGGTTTGAGAGATGGTTTAAGAATGCAGAAGACTTTACTGTTGTTGTTTTTTAAGAATAGTGGTCTGCAGAGTCCTGAGAATCCTCTTTATATACAGTTGTACAAACCAACTACTAAACCAGGAAGGCTTTCAAATGGTGACAGGATGTTGTCTGAAAGAGATGCGGCCGATTTGGGGCCCCCCAAAATTAAAATGTTTTAAAAAGCAAGGCCATTTTTGGAGATCACTTCCCTCAGAGCAACCCGTACCATATGTCAGGCCTGGAAGCCATCTTTTGCATTGGGCCTTCCGGCTTGCCACATTTCTCTGCTGTGGGGAAATGGGAGGGGGAATCACATGGAGTGTGGGAGATAGATAGTCTAAATAACATTCCTTTCTGAGAGAGTCAAGGACATCTTGCCCTGTGCCTGGAGTGGTGTGACTGGGAGGCATCTCCCATTGGGACGGTGCCTGATTGGGCCTGTGACTGACATGTGGGTGCTGGGCAGGGACTTGAACTTTCACTTGGGTGGGGAAAACATGGAAGCTTTCAGATTTTCCCAGATGTGCCAATATGACAACTCTAATAAAAGGAAACTCAAGCTTCGGAGTCTTCGTTCATTGGGGGGGTGTTACTTGGAACCCTCGTATTAACACGAATCTGAAAGCTTGCAGGTTTTCCCCGCTCACGTTTACCTCCCCATAGGTTGGTTTCTGTGGGTAACTATTCCCTAAAATAGTGATGTCTGGAAGTATTATAAAGACTAGTCAATAGCCACATAATAAATGAAGGGCCTCCAGGACCTGGTTTGGTAGAGGAAAATGTTGTGGAGTCATGGACTGGAGAATTAAACCTTGAAGGATCCTGCCTTTGCTATCGTCTGTCTCTCATAGAAAAGCAAAGATTTGTCCAAAAAAGTTCCAATATTGAATACCCTGTTTCCTTGAGAATAAGACCTCCCTGGATAATAAGCCCAGTCGGGCTTTTGAACGCATGCACTAGAATAAGCCCTCCCCGAAAATATTGCAACATAGCAGCAGTCATGAGGTAACTACACTCGCCGCCTCCTGCACCTCAAAAATAATAAGACCTCCCCGAAAATAAGGCCAAGTGCTTACTTCAGGGCCCAAAAGAAAATAAGTGCCCTGTCTTATTTTCAGGGAAACATGGCAGGAATGGCATTTCACAGTGAAAAGGTTTTTAAAAAAACATCACAAACAGATCACAAACAGGCAGAGATTTGATTGTACCATCATGGCTGCCAATATAATTTTCGAAAGTGGGGGGGTTGTCTTTTTTTTTTATTAACAAAGATCAGGGGATGATGCCATGGGAAGGGCTAAGGCTGAAAATCTTCCACCCTTCTTCTGCTTGACTGCAGGATCTTAGGCAGGTTTTAAAAGTGGGCAGGGGAGCATTTCCTGGTTCCACCACAAAACCGTGTTCGACTAAAGGGCGCTCGACGAAACCACGTAGCTGACGTCATCACAGCGCGACAACAGCGNAAAAACTAAAAAAAAACTCTGTTTCCTTTTGTTAGAATAATAATGAAAACTCAAGAACTAAAAGAAACTTTCATGGCTGTATGATTCTTCTGTATTTTAATTACATGTATTGTGTTTATGTCCCCTTTCCCCCTTTTGAGTTGTTCGCCGCCTTGAGTCCCTCCCGGAGAAGGGCGGCATACAAATAAACTAAATCTTAAATCTATTATTGCATTGTGGTCTTTTGAAAAAAGAATCTTTGGTATTCTATGAATCTCTAGATTTAATACCATTTTTTCCCCCACTGACAGCTGAAGCTTCAGACTCGGCCAAAGTTAAGATTACCTGCCATCCCTATCACCAAGCCCCATACTATGAAACCAGCTCCACGACCTGCAACTGTGAGACCCACAGTCTCTCCTATTGTATCTGGTGCACGAAGGAGGCGGGTGCGATGTCGTAAATGCAAGGCCTGCCTGCAGGGTGAATGTGGCATGTGTCATTACTGCAAAGATATGAAGAAATTTGGAGGGCCTGGTCGTATGAAACAGTCTTGTATCTTAAGGCAATGTTTGGCGGTAAGTGATGCTACAGGGGAAAAACCAGTTGTCTTTGCAAAAGAAATAAACTTTGATTTGTGCAAATCAAGGGGATGAAGCCTGTGATTCTTTTTGAAAATATCCCTGAATCCAAACCCGAAGCTATGAAGTCCAGATAGAAATTTCTGGTATGATTTCTTGTTTTAACTTTGTAGCCCAGACTGCCTCATTCTGTCACATGCGCACTTTGTGGAGAGGTAGATAAGAACGAAGATTCCCAGGACTTTGACAAGAAACTAATGGAGTGCTGCATCTGCAATGAAATTGTTCATCCTGGCTGTTTGCAGGTGAGAAGCTTTAAATTCCATACAAACAACTTGATTTACTTTGCTATAAAAATGACATCAACATGAATCTTGTTGGAAATTATTGCTGAGTTTCTCTCTTCTGCAGATGGATGGGGAAGGGCTACTGAATGAGGAATTGCCAAATTGCTGGGAATGCCCAAAGTGTTACAAGGGAGATGAGCCAGAGAAAGGCCAGGTAAAGAAGTTATTTTTTTTATTGATTGTGCATAGTATGCTGCTCTTGAGTAACGAGACAAACTGTTGTTTGCAGAGGGGCTCAATATTTCATGTAGCTTTTATGACTGGGAAGGTGAGATTGGTGCAGCATCTCAGTTTCTTGATTTATTTATGTGTATTGAGAACAATTTGCAGAAAGTGCATCATAGTTCTAGCAAGTGAGCTTTGGATGTTGTTGTGGAAAACACCTGCATCTATTAATGAGCACAAGGGGGACTGCATTGTTCATAATAAGCAGATTGCTTCACAGTTGTGTCTTATGACCTTCCTGGAATCTAGTAAATTATGACATTTTGCCAGGGGGGATCAGCATCCAGCTATTAAATAGCGAATACATGACAGTGCAAAAGTTGGGCTGTTGGGCCTGCTACCCCAACAAAGATCTTTCTAGTTAAAACTATCCAAGGTGGTAATTCCTTTCTGAGCATTGCAAGAGCTATTTCAAATGGGGGAATATTTGCCCTCTGGGTGGCCCTCCGATACTTCATTCTAGTCCTAAGCAATGTTCCCTCTAATTTTTTTTCAGTGTGAGCGGAAAAGTACAGTGTGTGAGCGGCACAGTTTCATGCCTGAGCACCTAAGAGAGCCACAGTTTGAACTGCAGTCGCGTCTGCTGGTCCTTTGCCCAACAATCCCCGCGTCAAGCGCCAATTGCGAGCGAGGTTTCAGCCCGATGAATGCCAGACATGAAAAGTGCCACCCTGAAAAAAAAAAGGCTCTCTGCTCAGCT